TTTGCTGGTATCTTTTAAAGCTCTTGAGCACCACATTTTAATCTCAATTAAGTCATAAAATAATCTTCCAGGGGCGCCTGGGTGGCTCAGCCAGTTGAGCATCCAACTCTTGATCTCAGCTCAGCTCTTGATCTCAGGGTCATGAGTTCAAGCCCCGCTTTGGGCTCCACGCTGGGCATGGAGCCAGCTTAAAAAAAAATAATAATCTTCCAATTTACAAAGCTCCAAGTTGAAAGTTATAGTGCATAAATCTACATGGGCAGAAAACCTTTCATAGTTCTACTTTAATTAGCTCTCTCCAACCAGTCTAAAACAGGGAGAATAAGGTCAGTGAGAGAACATTTTCCAAGACCACACAAGACTCCTTTCACCTCTGAGGCCTGGGTCCTTGTCCGGTTTGTTTTGCAAGATCAGAATTCTTGATCATGCTCAAGGGAGGTTGATTTATGCCGCAAGCGGACAGGGGTACCAGCGGAGGGCCTTTTGGATAGGAGGTATTGGAGTTCTTACGGTGTCATTGTTCCCCTGCCACTTCTGAACATTCTATTTCAAATACATGTAATTTGTCTTTGCTCTTTTTTTTTTTTTTTTTTTAGTGTAAGCTCTATACTCATGGTGGGGCTTGAACTCAGGACCTTGAGATCAGGAGTCACATGCTCCACCAGCTGAGCCAGCCAGGCGCCCCTGTCTTCACTCTTTATTTTTTTTTTTTTTAAAGATTTTATTTATTTATTTGGCAGAGAGAGACAGCGAGAGAGGGAACACAAGCAGGGGGAGTGGGAGAGGGAGAAGCAGGCTCTCCGCCGAGCAGGGAGCCCGATGCGGGGCTCGATCCCAGGACCCTGGGATCATGACCTGAGCTGAAGGCAGACGCTTAATGACTGAGCCAGCCAGGCGCCCCTGTCTTCACTCTTCAAAGCAGGGTTGTTCATCTGAGGGCCTGCGATGGCTCGTGCATAAATCATTCCGTAAGTCCATGACCTTGAATGGGGGTAAAATTATGTCTTTGACCTCTAAGAGTTACAGTTCTTTAATTTAAGGAGAAACCACACCAGTATTCGCAGCACCTGCCGCTTTGCCACGCTAGAAGTCAGGGATATTTTCATATCGGAACTCGGTTGTTGCAGAAACTTTGAAGTGTGAATTACACGAGTCATTCTTTGGAATGATGGTGATTATTAGAGCCGCTGCTAGAGTTTGCTATTTGAAGTGTTAATAAAGAAGCATGTATATTACCATATCACAAGTTCAAAATTTTATTTGAATTTTTTCTTACAGTTAATACTTGGGCAGAATTCCAGTATAATTTGTTTTCTTTGCAAGTCTATGCATTTGCTTCATGAGTTTTAAAACATTATTCTGAGCTTCATCAGACTGCCACGAGATCTGAGGCACAAAAGAGATTAAGGACCCTTGCCCTTTCCTACCTGCAGGATGGCAATTTGGGTCAGATGAAACTTTTTTATTTTATTTTTTTAGGTAGGCTCTACGCCCAGCGTGAAGCCTAACACGGGGCTTGAACTCACGACCCTGAGATCATGATCTGAGCAGAGATCAGGATCTGAGCAGAGATCAGGTGTTGGACATTTAACCAACCGAGCTACCCAGGCGCCCCCTTTTTCACTTAAAAAAAAAAAAAAGATTTTAGTTATTTGAGAGGGAGAGAGAGCACGAGCAGGGGGAGGGGCAGAGGGAGAAGCAGACTCCCTGTTGAGCACGGAGCCCGAAGGTGAAGCCGGCATGGACCCCAGGACCCTGAGATCATGACCTGAGCCAGTCAGACTGCTTAACCAACTGAGCCACCCAGGCGCCCCTCTTTTTTACTTTTTTAAAGGATTTGGGGAGAATGAGACTTATTACTCAATATTTGCATTAGAGCGCTGTTTTGATGTCTCTTAATACTGACCATATGAGAACCCCTCCGGTCCCAGGAATTTTCTGTCTTCTATTCCAAAAGGGCCCCACTTGGCTGTTAGGAGCACCTACCCGAGGAGGCTGTTTATTTGAATCATTGCTGGTACTCCAATTCTATTTCTGAAAGTATTTTCACCACCAGGGCCATAAAATACTGGCTTTGTGTGTTGAGGGAGCAGGCGGAGGTGTGGACCCTCTGCTCCCCCCCCCCCCCCCCCCCAGCACACGTGCCTCCATTCCCCCTGCTCCTCCTTGGAGCGAGTTCAGTTTCACGTCTGCAGGCAGGATGGGAGAGCATTTTCCCACGTCGTGGTCTGGCTGGTGGGTGGCTGAGTAAGGGAAAACCCACCTCCCACAGTCAGGCCTGGGTGCCCTCCCAGAGAGACCCTGCACCCCTGGTTTAGCCCAGAGCGCTCTGAGACCAGGTCATCTCGGTCCTGTGCACGGGCCCACACTTAGCCTCACAGCGTACCTGCCTCTGGGCTGACGGCCCCTCCCAAGAGAGCCTATCGATGGCAGTGGTTCGCCTCTCCACGGCTCTAACCCCATCTCGTACCTAAAGGGAGAGCTGGGAGATCTGACAGCAAGGGTTGGATGGTGTGGTCCCCGGCTGGAGAGAGCCAGATAGTCCCTGGGGCCCCCTGCTGGAGATGGACAAGATTTCTTCCTTCTCTCCTAGGTGTGGGGATTGGATTCTGAGTTCTCCACTTCTCGGGTGGAGCTCTCCAGGTGGGTCCAACTGGCCTCCGAGCCTCAAGCCAGAGATCCCCCGCCCCCTCCCGTCAGTCTGCGGATGATCTTTCTTCCTCCTCCTCCTCCTCCTCTCTGCCCCGGCCCCGGCCCCGCTCATCGCCCCTCCCCACACCTGCAGCAGCCTCCCTGGCCCCCTGCCCTCTCTTTTACCCCTTCCACTCCATCCTCCTCCTGACCCTCCGGCCCCAGGGTGATCTGTCCAAAACACAAAACAGACCATCTCCGCTCCCGTCTCAAACTGGTTCTGGATCTCCAGTGCCGTTCGGGTCTGGCTGGCATTCAAGGCCTCCTCATCCTGGCTGGTCTCATGTACCACTCCCTGCCCATCGCACCTGCGGTCCCCAGCCCCGTCAGTGCCCCCGACAGGCAGCCTGGGCACGTCGGCCACGTGGCTACAGTGCATGGACCAGCCCTCTGTGGCTGCCCATCACGCTGCAGTGGGCCTCCCTGGCTGTCCCCTGCCACCCTGAGGGCCCGACCTGCACACAGCGGGCACCTGAAGCGCTCCCCCCTGCCCCCAGAGATGCCGCTGCCGTGGGCCATGGCCGTGGTTTCCCCGGGGTCCCATGGAGTCTGGGCTTTCTGGAAGCACTGCTTTGAGTAGTAGGCCCGAGGGTCTCGCCGTGGGGGCCAGGCTGTGGAGGGAGCCTCCTTTCCCCTTGACCTCCTGTTGCTGGGCCCTTGTGTGCCTTAGAGAGCCCACGGTGGTCCCCATTCTCTGCTGTTCTCCCCCAAATTCACTTTACCCTGGGAACACCTCAGGCACAGTGCCTGACGACCATCCTCGGGGTGGGTGCAGACCCTCTCCCACTTTCTCATTGCCCCCAGTTCAGCAAAGGCGACAGGCTTCAGTGCCCTACTTTGCCCTACTTCCATGCCCAGATTCCCGCTTGGGACACTCCGCGGTGGCCCGCTGCGTCAGGACCACGCACTTTGTGTTCAAGGCTTACGCCCGCCTCTGAGGCCGCTCTGAACACTTCCAAGGGGCAATCCACTGAGGGAGCAGGGATGGAGCCCCAGGCTTGGGATGATGTCTGTGGCTCGGCGTCTTGCTGGAGGGGAGGAATGTTCTGGGACTCCAGATGACTGAGAGGCAGAAAGCAGCCAGAGTTCTCACCAGCTTGAGCCCAGCTTGAGCCTCACCCCAGACCCCCTCTGGAACTGTCGGGACAGACCCCAAGCACCAGGGCACGGGGGCAAGAGCACAAAGAGGCTCCAGGCACATAGATGGAGATGCTGGGGCATAGGCAGCTCTCCGGAGCACCGGCTTTGTCCTCCTCCCTCTCCAGGGCGCAGCAGGAGCAATGCTCAGTCACTCCCGGGTCATTTTGTGAACCGGGACTGGGCAGCAAAGCCCTGGGAGCCCAGTGGGGGTGCTCATGCCCCTCATGTGGGGAAGGGCGGTGGGTGCTGCGGCTGCAGACCCAGGAGGATGGGGTTGACCTGGGGGTCTGACACATATGGACGCAGGCCCTGCAAGGGCACTCCTGGGTGGGGGGAACCTTGGGTCTGTGGCCCCAGGTGTTTGGACTGGGGGAGGGGGATGCTCTTTAGCTCAGCGGGAAGGAGATCCTCCTCAGGGGGAGTAGTGCCCAAGGGCTGGGGTGCTGTGACCTTGAGGTTGTGTCTCCAGTGCCCGGGGACACAGGAGCCCCCGCTGGACTTCTGCCTGCAGGGGAGCATGGGCTGAGGCTGTGGGAGGGGAGGGTGAGAGGGCCCTCAGGACTCTTCCAAGTTTGAGTCAACCAGCCTCTCCCACTGCCCAATCCCCCAAAGGCTAATGTGGAGGAAAGCTGCCCCACCAGCCACTGACCTGCAGTCCCCTACGGGAACACCTTACTCTCTCTTAGCCAGCAGCCAGGGACAAGCTCCTCTTGGCATTCAAGGCCCCCATGACTTGCTCCCCGCCCCGCCTTCACTGTGTCCTTGCATCAAGAGACCTCTTCCTTCTCCTCTTTCCCCTACCCTCTGCCACCCTGCATTCTTGCCCCCAAGCGTCTGCTCAGGTCACCCCTCACTCTAGTTCCATTAAAGCCCCCTCCCCCATCCCTTCCCTGTGGGCAGTTCCCCTGAGCCCTGCTGTGGGGCCTAGCGCTTTAGCTCTATGCCTTCCTCAGGTACTGCCGGTTGTCTCCCCCCTGGACCTCTCCCTGCTGGACGGGGAGCTGGGTCCCCTTAAAGACAGAGCTGGGTGGGGGCCGGGCAGGCGCCAGGCCACTGTGGGCTCAATGGGGGGGGGGGGGGGGGAGTTGGGGATGCCATGTGTGGTACCCCCGCTCCTTCCCCGCAGTCCCCGAGACCAGGGCAGGAGAAAGGATGACAGGAGAGCCGAGTGCAGTCCCTAAAACAGGCTCTTTAATAACATTTATGTCTTCACTGAAGAGCTTCGCTTTTCTCACCCAGCGCCAGGCTGGGGCCGGCCGGGTCCGCTGGACGGCCGGATGGACGGGCACGGGGCGGCGGGGCCGGGTGGCCCCAGGCCCTTGGCGCCGCCGCGCAGCGCGGGGCTAGTAGAAGGAATACTGGTTCTCGACGGCGCGCGTGTGGCCCCGCGCTCCCTCGGCCGGCGCGGCCTCCGGGGGCTCGTCGGCGCCGCCGCCCCCCGCCTCCAGGAGGCGCTCGGCGCTGTTGTTGCGGCTGCGCGCGCTCAGCGGGCCGTCGGCGGGGCGCGGGGCGGCGGGCGCGGACGCGGCCGAGGACGACGAGGCGGACGAGGACGAGGCGCCGCCCGCCTCCGACGGTGAGGCGGGTGGGCAGGCGGCCGCCGCCAGGCTGGAGAAGTAGTGCTGGCCGGCCGGCTCGCTCCAGCAGGCGGGGGGCGCGGGCGCGGCGCTGGCCGAGGGCCCCGGGGCTGTGGCGGGAGAGCGCGGGCGCGTCAGGGCCCAGCCGGGCCCGTCGCCCCCGCTGTCCCCAGCCCCGGCGCGTCACACGCGGACGCGCAGACCCGCAGGAACGGGGTGGCCTGGCTCTCCGGGTTCCAGCCCCCCTCCCTGGATACCTGATGTCACGGGGACGGGCGACAGGGCACACACAAACCCACGCGTGCCGGACCCCCTTCCCCGCGCCCCCAACACTTCCTTCAGCAGCTCTGCAGGGGTCTAGGGAATCCCTCAGCGCTGCCTCTGAGCGACCACCTTCCGCCTGCCCCCAGTCACTCAGGACCCGGACCCGGTCCCTGCGCGGCCACTCTCCCTCCAACCCTGATGGCCCGGATTGCTTACAACCGCCCAAGACCTGGTGTTCATCCCACGGGGGCTAGCGGTGCTGGGCAGCAGCCTGTGGGTGACGCCCTCCCCGTAGGGCCCACCTGTCTGTCCTCTTGAGCCATCACATAGGCCAGCTGGGGGGAGTCTTACCGGGTGGGGGGCCCTGGGCCCGCACGTAGCTGCGGAGGGTGATATCTGCAGAGCCCCCGGACTCCAGTGGGATCGGGTGGGTGTGGAAGTGGCGCAGCATGTCGAGCACGGACTGGAACCACAGGTGCTGTACGTGGCATTGCCCGTGGCTATTCAAGGACAGGCGCAGGTGCTGTGGGCACAGGACGGGGTGGTCAGTGGTGGGGGCCCGGGCTGGCCAACTGCTTTGCAAGCGCCTTTGAGGGTCATTACCAAGTCTCACAGAGACCATATGGGGCTGTGTCAGAGCGGGGGCACCTCACACATTGAGCCCCCTCTTAGGGGGTCACTCCGGTAGTGAGGATGGGGAAGGAGGGTAACAGCCAGGCTGGGGACTGAAGGGAGCCGTGCATTTAGTCCCCATGCTAGGAGCGCACGCATCATGCCCTTTGCACCCCCATCTCTAGTCTCCAATAGCCCCAGAAGGTAGAGATTGTAGTCCCCATGTTAGCGATGGGGAAACTGAGGCATAGGGAGGGAGGGAGTCACCCACAGTCACAGAGCTAGGAAGAAAACTCATTTGTGTGATTCTCCCACCCTGGCAGGCTAGGAGTCTGCCTGCTGTTCCTGCAGAGCTAAGGCCCAGGGTCCGGGGGGCAGTAAAGACCCTGAGTCTAGCTGGGGAGGAGCAACCACATGTCCCTCTTAATGGTGCTGCAGCGGGAGCACCTGGAGCACAGGGAACAGGGCTGGTTCCTCCGTGGGTCTCCAGGGCCTGCATGTGACAAGTGCCCCAGGGAGAGGAGCCACAAGCCTGTGGTCTCTAGTGGTGAGTCACAGGTCTCTGGCTTCAGCCCTGTTTTGCTCAATGTGTGTTCCGCAGGAGGAAGAGTGGCTGTCTCTGGGGGGAAGCTGGCCTGGCCACCTGCATAAAGGACAGAGAAGCCCTGGGGGTGGAAGGTAGCCCCATGAGTGAGTTCTGCCGCTCAGCAGGGCCAGAAATTGCCAGAACAGTGTGGCGAACCCAGGGAGCATTCCTGGCAGCCCAGGGCAAGGGCTCAGCTGGAGAGGAACAGCCTAGTGGGGTCCTACCACAGCCTCAAGTCTGGGTAGGGCCTTTGTGGGCATAGGCCTAGGCAGACTTGGGGCTCAGGGGGAAGGTGCAACTCAATTTTCGGGAAAACCTTCCAGACTCTTATTATCCGAAGGTGAAAGGCGCTGCCTAGGAGGTGTGCACGCAGTAGGCTGGAGGTCCCGCTCTATCCCACGACTAACTTGTCAAACCCTGGACAGTCACCCAGCTCTGAGAGGGCAGCAGCTGGGGCGAGTTCCAGGCTGGGTCATGCCCTAGGAAGGAGAGGAGCCTCCCACCCTGCTCCACCCCCCCCCACTCCCCCTCCCCGCCATGCCCCCGTAGAGGGCTGGGCACCATCCTAGCCTCTGGCTTGGGCACGAGTCAGATCCAGGCGCTCCCGGGAGGCCACATGAGGCGGTGCTGGCCCAGAAGGAAACTTCGGGCTGCCAGGGACAGCGCCACACGCCCCGTTGCCAGAGGAGCGAGCTGGTAAGGGCAGCTGCTTCCCAAGGAGGCGCCCCGGGGGAGGTGCTGCGTCTTCCATGCTGCCGAGGAGAGATGCCCGGGGAGCCAGGGGAGGGCCTGGGCCAGGCCAGCCGGGGGTTGGGACACTGACCGCCAGGGCAGGGCTGGAGCAGGAGTCCTGGGGTGCCCCCTCCTCCAGCAGGGACGGACCGGAACCGTGTCCTGGGAGGAGCCGGGGCCGGGTCTGTTGCCTTACCGGAAATTTGGGTTGGTGGGGGGAGTGGGGTTGAGGTTCCTGCCCGTTCTGATCTCATTGTAACCACAACCCCCCCGCCCCCGACATCATTGACTTTTCTGTCTTATTTTCCTTTGCACCTTATTATTATTAGCACACAATGTCCTTCCTCGAGAGCCCCCCATCTGGGCACACTGCTCCCCCCTTGCTGTGCCCTGTCTGGATCTCCCTTCTTCACCTCGAGGATTCTCCATCCACTGCACACCTCAGGTCACTGACCCCTTATTCTGGCTGGTGAGGTCAGGAGAACCGCTTCCCCTGCAGACCCTGCACGGCGGCCCTGTGGCCCAGTCTGCCTCCTCCTCTCCTGCCCAGCTCTTGAGGCCTGCCTGTGTGTACTTCTGTGACCCTGGGGCTGCCATGGGCCTAGCTCAGAGCTGGGGCTCAGGACGGGTTGGTGAACCGACCTGAGCAGGGAAGGAGACGGGCTAGCTGCGTGTGGGTGGGGCAGGAGGGCCTTGGTTGACCTTGGCCCTGCACCAGCGTGGCTGTGGGCAGAGACCCTCAGAAGCCTTAGTGGTAAGCGATCCCCAGTGCATAGGGTCAAAGTGAAACCCCCAGAAGGGCCCGGCCTCCTGTGCGCTCAGCCACCAGTGGGTGGCTTCCCCATCTGGATAATTAAGAAGCCACATCTAGGGCTGACCGCACCCCTCAGGGAGGTGTTGGGGGGGGTTGCAGGTGGGGTGAGGGCACGCCTGTGGGAAGTCATGCCTGCTCCTGGAGCACAGGACCAGGACCACCTCAGGGCTGGCCACACTGCCCCCGTGTGCCCCGCCTCCCCCCCACTGCCGCCTCCCCCTCTCCACGCCCCGGCTGACTTGCCTTGGCCTTGCCCTGGAAGTTGAAGGTCAGCACGTACTCCCCAGGCCGAGTCTCACTCTGGCGGATCACGAAGAGGCCGTGGCTCCGGGGCCCGCCGGCAAGCACCAGCTGAGCTGCCCTGACCCGTGACAACGTCCCGTGGAACCAGGGGTAGTCGGAGAGCTCCAGCTCAGGCTCAGCCTCCGGCTCCGGCTCCGCTCCCTCCTCCCCTGCAGAGGGACGGGAGTGTGAGGGGTGTGGGGGAGCGGAAGGGGTGAGTCAACGAGAGAAGAGATGCCACAGCTTCTTGGGTATTTGCATGTAAAATGCTGTATGACTATTCTTAGAACGAGTCAGGGAACCAACCCAACTCACTAGTTCAGCGTATCAGGTAAACTGAGGCACAGAGAGACCGACTGTCCTGGAGTCACTCTCCAGTCAGCAGGAAACCTGGGAACAAGTCAAGTCTCCTTGTCCCCAACCCCTGGTTCCAACCCTTTACCCTCCACTCCTTCTTTTTCCATGGACTCGAGGGCCTGTGGGAGGGATCACCTTCCCGGACTCGCCCACAAAAGCCAGAACCACTGAGCTGCCGTGCAGTGTTCCCGGTGCGATGGGACATCATGGCTTCTGAGGCTCAGGAGGGCCCCTGTGGCCTGGGGGAGGGGGGTGGGGGGGCAGGAAGGAGGCCCAGGGAGAGAAGACTGTGCGCACACCTGTATTATTGCTGTCCTGGCCGCCGCCACCCGAGGACTCCAGTGTCTCCAGGAAGGTCTCCAGCGGGACATGGACCAGGGACTCCCCGACGCCATCTCGGGCTCTGCTGTGTGGAGCTGTCACCACGGCTGCTGTTGTCTCTGGGGGCCGCGGCAGGTCCCCTGCTGGAGACGAGGCGGTGGGGTGGGGGGGAAGCGCATCCATCTGTCGGGCCATCCGGGCACCAGCACCCCCTCTAACCCTGCCCTCCCCCTCCCCCGGCCAGCTCCGCCCCCACCTACCATCCGTCAGCAGCTCACAGCTGCAGGAGGCCACTCGGCTGGCCAGGCAGCCTCCCCGGGTGCAGGACAGCTCAGTGTCTTCCTCACTGTCCCTGCGAAGGCAGGAAGGCACGACTGTGTCCCGCCATGGGACTCAGACCCCAAGCACAGGCTGCTCGCGGAGCCCCCAGTGATGGCTGACAGTCCCCATGGCCAGCAGCAGCCCTCTCCTGCTCGTCTGGGTCCCTCTGCCTCCACGTCCCTCTGTCCCAAGCCATCAGCTTGCTCTGTGGCCACCAGGGACATGCCTGGGCCATAAGGAGAGGTCTCCGAGTGGGTGCAGTCCTCCTTGAGGCCATATGAGTCCTTCCCACTGACCCACGAGGGGCTGGCCTCCTCCTGGGACCCCAGGGGGTGTCCCTCAAATGATGGCAGGGCAGCTCCCTGCCCTGCCATGGCCTTTGCCTCCCTGTCTGTGACACGAGGTGCCTGGGACCCAGCCAGTTCCAAAAGACTGCAAAGTGAGGTTCACCTTCACAGGGGCTGGGGGAAGAATTTGCAGGGTAGATGGCTGGGGGGCAGTGGCAGGGGACTGATCACAGCCATTTGGGGGATGGGCCAGGGAAGGGGGGCCTGGAAGGCACTCAGGCCTTTAATTGCACTTCCTCAAATGAAGCTGTTAATTAGAAAGCAGCAGCCCCTCCCCCCGGGCCTGGCTCACCCCATTAGCCAGAAGAGCCAAATGCTCGGCTGTTGGCCGGCCTGCCCCTCCTACTCCCGGCCTCGGGATCGCTCCTGGATCATGAAGCCAGGCTCCCCGCTGCTCCTCCTCATACAGCTGCCCAATACTGCCCTCTGCTTATTACTAGCCATGGCTCCCCATTGCCCCCGACCTACCAGCTTCCCAGGCTCTCATCACAGCGCCCCTCTTCAGCTCTATGCCTAGCTGCCCAAAGGTCTGGACATGCCCTGCTCCCCTCCCAACCTTGGCTGGGCGGTCCCCTCTGCCTGGCTCAGGCCGGAGGAGGAGGGGAGCACCTCTACCAGTATACCTTCTCTGAGCCCCAGGGTCGGATTCAGGGCCTTGCCTCTGTTCTGCCACCTCTGGCCCTTTGGGCTCGCCCTGCCACTGCCCATGTCCTAGTGCTCTCAGATTCCTCTGGAGTAAGGACAAGTCCCAGTCTGACTTTCTTCCAGCTCCCTAGGCCCTGGCCCTGTGGAGCAGGCTCCAAAGAGCCGATTGGGGCTGGGGGTCCGGATGAGCCTGGCCAGGGCTGCCATGAGAAAACCCATCTCCCAAGCTCAGCTCCCGCCCTCACCAGAAACCTCACCCTGTAAGGGCGGGGGGACCACGGGGCACTACCCGGCCCGACTCCCACCCCATCCACCCATCCTGGGGCCACCTGGGCACTCACCCGGGGTCCACGCAGCCCTGGATATCAGCCACCCATGAGTGCTTCTGCAGTGAGTCAATGGTCTCCAGGATATACTCAGCTCCATTCTCAACCTGGGGAGGGGGTGGCCGGGAGTCCAGCCCTCAGCACAGGGCTGCAGACTCCAGGGCAAATGGCTCATCCCACCCCTCCACCATGGGAGCTCACCGGTGCGGGCAGCAGGGAAGACAGTGTGGTCACCATCGGGCACCACCCCAAGCCCAGGCCAGGGTCCCCGGGGCAGAGCCTTGGCCGCACTTTCAGCAGCCCCTCCCTCCTGGGCCCAGCAGTGGGGATCATGGGGGATGATGTCCAGCCCCACTGAGCTCAGGTCCTCAGGCCCTGGAGATGCAGCCTCTGAGGAAGCCATGCTGGCCTGGTACCCCGGAGATGGGGTGAAAGAGCATCACAACCCTCAAGTCCAAGAAGGGCCGGCTGGCCTAGCACACGGAGCTGAGGGGCTCCCACACCTTAGTGCCTGGAACTCTACCTCTGTGCCCCATGCCACTGGGACAGGCAGTGCCCAGAGCGTCACCCCGCCCATATCTGATGACCTCTTCCCAACGGCCGTGTGAGGGAGGCGGTAGGTTTTCCCCACTTTACAGAGGAGAAGACTGAGGGTCAGAGAGGTCGGGTGACTTGCTCACACCTGCACTCAGGGGCAGCGCCGGGACCTGAACCCAGATCTCCGTGATGCCAAGGCCCCGGGCTCTCAGCTTTGGGTGTGTCTCCGGTGAAAATGCAGTTGCTGCCTCCCAGCAGCTCAGAGCTGGGAGGGGCCTCAGAGACCACCTTCCACCCCTGTCTGACTAGATGGGGAAACTGAGGCCCAGAGTGGGGCTGGCAGGTGAGCCCCTCTGCCTCGGGGCTCCTGGGTGCCGTGGGCAGCACGGTGGCCAACCGGCTGTCGGGGACGAGGCTCTGGGCCTGCCTCACCCAGCAGACAAGAAAGCCAGGCAGGGAGGGACTATGTCCTCAGCCCCCGGGGGCCTGGGGTGACTCAGGGTACGAGGTTGGCAAATGTTTGCTAAATGAATAAGGGAGTTTTGTGGCTAAATAAACAAGGATGAGTAAAACATAAACCCAACGAGGAGCCTGAAGAGGAGGGTGGGGGCTTCACGCCTCTTGGGGTGGGTGGAACCAGGCCTCCTTGGGGCCTTGGCTTTACCAAAACCCAATGCTTCGAGGAGGCCCAGGGCCACAGCCCTGGCAGCCTGGAGCCGTGTCCTCAGCAACCCAAGCAGGCCACCCTGGCAAGGTGGAGCCTGGGAAAAGGAAGAGAGCTGCCCCCAGACCCACCGGGGTGCCTCCCCGCCCACCCTCCATTGCCTTTGTGCCCTCCGTGGGACCAGGCAGGTTCCCACACTCCAGTGCCCAGGGACGGGGGCATTTGCATAAGTGCTGCGGGCTGTGGGGTGGGTATATGCTGGTTCCAGTTGGGGAAGGGAGGCAAGGAAGTGAAACTCAGAGGAGCTTCACTGGGCCAGGGGGAAATGGGAACGGGGGGCCCCAAATGGTGGGTGACACCCAGAGCCCGCGGCGCTATAGCCCCAGGCCCGGATTCAAGGCCTAGCTGTGTGCCAGGCATCTGCGGCCGGTCCTGGGCCCTGCGGCAGGCTCCTCGCCCTCTCTCCCGCCGCGGTAGCCTCTGGCTGTGCTGCCCAAGGCGGAGGTGGCCTGGGGCGGCCGGGGGATTTGTGGGGCCGGGGGTGGGGCTCACCTTGAGCACAAACGTATTGTCTTTTTCTGGCATCTCCAGGGGCATCGTCGTGCGGACCTCGATGATGGCCGAGAGAGGGATGCTGACCTTGGGCCTGGAGGCCTGGGAGGCCAGAGGAAGGGGCAGTGAGAGAGTCACCCAGGGTCTTCTGAAAGCCTCTGCACCCTCCCACCCCTCAGAGGTCAGAGCCGCCCTCAGCTTGGAACACCAAGGCAGCCCTGGCTCTTGCTCACAGGTGAGTAAGTTGAGGGAGTTTCTGGGAAACAACGGGACCTCCCCACACAGTCACGTCACAGACAGAGCTGGAACCCAATTCTGAGTCTCCCACCTCTGAGCCCTGAGGGGAAAATTCCACCCGGGCTGCCCTCCTGCCCTGCGTACCTACCATGTCTGTAGTTTTCACATTTTTGACCCCGACCCAGATGCGACAGATTTGACATCGTGACCCACTACATATGTGCTTAGTTAAGAAGGTCTCTGAAACGTCTCACCAGACAATATTTATCCTGTGTGTGATGGAGTAAGCGAATTTCTAGTCCATCCTAGTTCATTTGAGGAAAAAAAAAAAAATGCTGCCCTCCCCCTTTAGAGCAGACTTTCCAGAGCATGGCTCTGGGGTCCCTGACTTAGAACAGGACTCCTGGAGAGGGGCAGGGCTGTGTCCCCGGGTGGAGGAAAAGGGACCCGTGTGGGGTTGAACCAAGGTGAGCTGTCAGGGCTCCCAGGGAGGGCCGCTCTGTGTTAGGCCCTCCCCACTCTGCTCCAGGGCTCCTGGCCACGGCCCTAAAGTCCCCCAGGGCTGGCTTGAGATTGAGCTTCCCGGCAGGGCTTGGGCTCCAGAACAGGGACTTTCTCTGGAGGAAAAGGGAAGGGCCGCACACTGGGTGGGCAGGCTGATGGGAATTCCTGGTAGCACTGGCCGCCAGCCAGTGGGGGCAGGGCTGGGCTTGGAGCAGGGACTGAGGGCCTTGGTGGACCAGGGCAGGCCATCCTGCTGGCCAGTGGGGCCGGGGCTCAGGGTCCCGGAGTAGGGAGAACAGACACAGATGGACGGTGCCGGCCTGGTCTGGGGGCTTTAGCTGGGCTCCCGCTGGCCGGAGGGGCCGATTCCTGCGCCCGGCCTTCGAGATGTGGCTGTCCGAGCTCAGTGAGTGGCCTCTGACCCTATCCAGCCACACTTCATCCTTCCCATTCCCTGGCCAGGGCCGGCAGGCGGTGCCGCCCCTCCAGAGCAGAGGCACAAGTGGTGAATGGTAGGACGGGCGAGACTTTAAAAGAGAGGCCCCAGCTGCTGCACCCCTTCCCCCAAGGGCAGCGGACGCTATTTACAGCCGGGCAGCTGTAACTGCCACTCAGGCCCAGAGGCATTGAGCCCTGGGCCTCTGTCCTTGCCCTTTGGGCGACTCTGGGCCAGCCCCACCCCGCCTGCCCTACTCACCGGGCCTCGGTCTCTGACAAGTGGTGGAGCTGGGCTTAATGGTCTAGGATTTCTCTCAGGGGCCTAACGGTGGGGGCCTGGCAGGCAAAAATCCCTTGGGAAGTCGGGGTCCTATGACTCAAGGGAATAAGTGTGTCCCCGGGAAATCATCTCTCCAGAGTCCACGCAGCTCATGGGCACCCAGCCTTGGGGAGCCCACACCCTGCCCCTCCAGCGGAGAGAGAGGCAAGGAGGTGCACCCAGAGTCTGACAGCCTGGGAGATGGAGAGAGGCGAGAGGATCAGGGTGACTAAAGGTGCCGGGGAGTAGGGAGGGCCGGGGGGGGGGGCGAGGGAGGGCTGGGTGGTTCTTGGGGTGCAGCCAACTGCCGCACCAGCCCAACCTCCCACCTTTCCGAACCTCCCAGCACACAAGTAGCTCCCACCTCCACGCTCCTCCATTCTCAGGACCACCAGGGTGGTGGGTATAATTAGCCCGGCTCTGCCACCCACCAGCTCTGTGACTCTGGGCAGGCCACACCTCTCTGAGTATTCCTTTGTTCTCTCTTCCGTGACCTGGGGATTGTGATGCCCACCCTGTAGGGGGCCTGGGGGGATGAGATTATGCACCAGGCTTAGGGCTCGGTATGCCGTGTGCCCTCAGAAAATGGGCACTATTGTTAACAATTATTCCCACTTTCCCAACAGGGCAGGTGTGCCACCGGGGAGAGGGCCCATAGCCGCCCCCAGGGCTCCGATGGCGAGCCCCCAAGCTGGGGAGGGGGCATGGTGCACTCAGGTGAGCAGCAGAGCTGGAGATAGCTAGAAGCTTAGCTTTCAAAACCTGGGCCAGGTAAGGGCCACCCACCAGGGGCTGGGCTGCAGCCTGGGAGCTGCACCGGGGACCGACACGTTTCAGGCGCCCTCCCTGTTTGGGAGGCTCCAGCCACCCAGGAGCCCTGGATGAAGGATGGAGGAGGGCAGGCCGCCCTGGCACCCTCCGTTGCCCCCCACGCTGGGCCGGGCGCTCACCTTGGGTGGCACGAAGAACTCGAGCCGGAAGCGCTCGCCGGCCACCGCCCTGCGCAGGAGCAGGCGACACTTCTGCCACTGGGCCGTGCCGCCCGGGCCCGCGGCCGCGTCATCGGCCACCATGAAGCGCAGCGCGCCCTCGCGCTGGATGTCCACCAGCTCCACCTTGGCCGCCAGCGTCCGCGACAGCCGCAGGCGCCGCGTCCACTTGTCGCGCGGCTCGGCGGGGGGCTCGGCGGCCCGCGGGGCGGTGCCCGCGTCGGGCTCGGGCGAGGCGCGCCGGTGCCACATGTCGCGCACGCCGTCCACCACGCACAGGCTCATGTTGCGCAGCGAGAAGCCCTTGCGGACGCGGGCCTTGGCCGCCGCCTGCGCGGACACGTCCTCCGAGCTCCGCGAGTGGCCGTAGGCCGCCGCCTTGAGTGCCGTGGGCCCCGACATCTCGGGCTCCATGGCGTCGGGGGGCTCAGCTGCCCCCCGAGGCGCCGGCCCGGCCACCAGCACGCGGCGCACCTCCTCCCCGAAGACGTCCAGGAAGTTGGCGGCGAAGTGGCGGGAGAAGGAGGCCCCGGCGTCGGGCGTGTCGTAGGCCGGGTTGTCCCGCAGAAAGCGGCAGAACTTGTGCGCGAAGTCCACGGCGGCCGCCTGCGCGTGCAGCTCGCAGAACTGCCGCCAGTCGGGGACCGGGGCGGGGGCGGCGGCGGCGGCGGGGCCGGGGGCGGCACCATTCATGGCTCCCGTCCCATCGCAGCCCCCTGCGGCTGTGGGCGACAAGAGCGCGGGGTGACTCTGGGACCTCAGCGCCCACCCGGCCCCTCTCCCCCCGGGGCTCCCTGGGGCTGTGTGTGTGTTGGGGTGGGGTGCGACATCATGCAGCCATTCAGAGCAGGGAAGGACGGCAGCATCTGCAGGAGGGGGGTCGTGTCGTCCTGTCCCCCCCCCCCCCCCCCCCCCCCCCCCCGTCACACTCTTCAAACGGCATTCTCCAGGTCATTTCTGGGGCTGGCGGAGGCTGCGGTCCCAGGTGCCTTGATTTGGGGTCCCCACGAGCCTCCTGTTACCTAGCTTCCCAAACAGATCTCTTCTGAGGGGCCCTAAAGGTGGGTGGACAGGAAGGAGTCGTGTGCACTCCTCCCAGCTCTGCCTTTGAAATATGCCAAGAACTCAACCTTTCCTCCACTCATCATCCGGGCTGCCCTCCAGGGGCCCACATGGCCTGTTCTCTCCCCTGCGGTACTTTAGCAGCCTCTTCACTGGCCCCCAGAACTTCAACTCATCCCCTCCCCCCCCCCAGTCTGTTCTCCACCCAGGAACAGAGTCATCACTCCTAAAACAAGACAGATTAGGTCCCTCCTTTGCTCATAATCCTGCATTGGCTCCCATTCCACTCAGAGTAAAAGTAGAAGTCCCACCCATAATACCCAAGCTGTCACATGATCTGCCTCCACTTACCTCCCTGAGCCTATCTCCTGCCACTCTTCCCACCCACTCTGCTCTGGCTGCTGCTGGGGCCCACCCCAGGGCCTTTGCACCTGCAATTCTCTCTTGCACTTGCCTGGAATGTTCTTTCCCCCACACTCCCTCACCTCCTTCAGGTTTCTGCTCATCTACCATCTTGTCCAATAGCCTTCCCTGGCCCCCACTCTACTGAGAGTAAGGAATGCTCCTGTTCCACCCAGCACTGGTGTCTGCATGCCCTTGGATTGCTTACTTTTCTCTGTGGTGCTTATCCCCATCTGACATACCATTTGTTCCCTTGCTTGGTTGTGTTGTCCTACCCCCCACTCCCCACCACACCCTTCCCCTGAGAATGCAGTGTTTTAAGTGGGCTATGTCCCCAGTGCTGGGCACATGGTAGGCACGGTAAACACTGAATGAATGGGGGCGCCTGGCTGGCTCAGTCGGTAGAGCATACGACTCTCGATCTCAGGGTTGTGAGTTCAAGCCCCATGTCAGGTACAGAGATTACTAAAAAAAATAATAAAACACTGAATGAACAAATGGATGTGTCCAGCACACGTTCACACATGGATGTGTCAGGCATGTCACAGCTGTCACTGCCTAAGCCCTCACATGGGGCCCGAGAACACGCAGCTCGTTAGTGACGGGCCTGGGATCCTTCCTCTGACTCCAGGACCCCAGGGCTCACCTTCCAGTGTGGACCAAGTAGGACCCGTTTTTCATACTGGCACTGAAAGCACTGCATTCTCAGACCTCTTTCCGTCCCCATGGTCTGCACTCTTCCCACCTTCTGGAATGCCGTTCCCTCTGAGCTCCCATCCAAACCTGGCTTTCCTGAAGAGGTTCCGATGTAGGGACTCCAGCTCGCTCCTGTTCCCAGGTCCATCCAGCCTATATTACTCTGGCTCGCCAAACTACTGGTGTGCCCAGGCATTTGGGGGCCTTGCCTCCTTGTCCCCCAAGGTGGCCACCGCTCCTGGGGGCACAGGTCCAGCCCGCTGTGTTTATATATTCCACCCCTGTCCCTAGGCCAGGGTGAAAATTACCAGTGGGGTGATGAGGTCCTGCCCTGCCTTGGGGAGTCCCTGTCTGAGGGGGTCAGCCTGGTGTTAGGGGAACTGAGACAGAAGGTCATGCCCTCACCTGTCCTCCCAGGATCCCCACATTTCCCAGCATGGCCCTTCCCTCAGAGCTCCTGGGAGCACCAGCTCATCTCTCCTCTGGGATCCAAACTCTGTAATTAAATGCCTGGTAAAAAATAGCTGCCCCACTTCTACGAGATCATCTGCGGGGCCTCTGGGCCATACAGCACCGTGGGAACTCCCGCTCACCTCGGGGCAACCTCGGCCATTGATCTGTAGTCAATAACCACAGGACAGCCCCAGGCAGGAAACAGGCCACTTGATGAGGCTACTTAGCACAGAGGACAGTTTTCCCAAACCGGCTCAGAGACTCCTATCCGGGCCTGAGAAAGAGGGTGGCTGGGAGTTAGGAAGGTTTCCTGGAGGAGGGGGGCTCTGCGTTGGCCTTTATGACAGTGAAGAGGGAAGCGGACGAAGACTGACCTTACTGCAGGGATGAACGGTAACTGGGAAGCAGACTTTCAGGACATAGTGGGTGGGATTGGGGGAGAATGGGGCCTGCTCGTCTTCCTTCCTTCATCTGGCTAACTCCTACTCATCCTTCAATAATGAATCCAGGGGCCACTTCCTCTAGGAAGCCTTCCCTGACCTCCCCCCTGCCTCCCCCCACTATGTGGCATGAGTGTCTCCTCCAAGCTCCAACAGTCCCCTCCCAGAAGCCCCTCTAGCAAGGTGCCAATTACCGGGTGCTCCAGGTGTCTGTTCCCATGTCTGTCTCCCCATGTGGCATAGACACTCCTTGGGGGCAGAAGGCAGGCACGAGGCGTATGCCAGGAATGAGGGTGGAGGTGGGAATGCACCTGCCACCACCACCACCGAGGCCTCTAGGGAAGGTGGAGAGCCAAGGCCTTGTCCTGACTTGCTGAGGGGGCACATTTTGGCGGTGGGAGTGGGGAGAAAGCCCTGCAGCTAAGCCAGTTCCTTTCCTCCCCGTTCCGCCAGGAGGCTCGGACTGGGTGACACAGCAGCCTGGGAAGCCAACTCCCAGTGTGAACACCCATCTGCCCCACCTGGGGCTGGGAGGAGGTGCGGGGGCAGGCGGGGAGGAAAGCAGTCCCAGTGGGCATATTTGCACATCAATGCCTGGTCCTCCTCATTCTTCCTGCGGGATGAAGGGGCAGAGCAGAGGGACAGGGCCCTGGGGGGAGGCTCTCACAGCGTGCGTCCCAGCTAGTCCTCACAGGAGCTAGGGGTGGGACTCAGAGAACTTGCCACGGATATGGTGGTTATGGCCATGCCCTGGGTAGGGACTGGCCTGGGAGGCACTGGGAGGTTAGGCCTGCCTTGACTTCCCCTACCCACCCTTGCTGGCTGGCCAGGAACCTAGTAGGCCTGAAGCCCAGCAGCCCTCAGTGTCCCCTGGGTCTAGCTGGAGGGGCTACACGGAAAGGACAGGGGTTGAGCCTCCAGAGGTCAAAGTTAAAGCAGCAGGGCCAGCAGGGAGCCCTGCACAGAAAGTGACTTTCTGTGAAGGGGAGGCCGCCGGCCACAGAAGAGGGCTCAGCCCCAACCCAACTGCCCTTGGAGCCAAAACTGGGGATGAGACCAAGTGCAGGGATCTGGGCTGACCTGGGTTCAAGGCCCGACAGCCCCACTACCCTCTGGGTGAGTGACGCTGACCACAACTCCCACCTCTGAGCCTGCTTCCTCACTTTAAAATAGCGAGGAGGGCTACTCCTCCCTGGAAGGACAGCACCGTTATAATCCATGTGCGGCCACGGGCAGAGCCGGACCCCCCCACCAACCTCTGGGTGGTGAAGCCAGGAGGCTTTTCCAGCCCTCTCTAGGGACCAGCCGGTGTGTTACCCAATTAATGAGACAGGGCCCTCCCCCATTCTGCAGGTGACCAGACCCAGATGTGGGAAAAGCAGAACCTCAGGGCGGAGGGGATCCCAGAGGTACTAGGAGCAGGGCGGCCGAATTCACCCCGGCCCCTGCCGTCTGGTTGGCCTGGAAGGTTCATGGATGAATCCTCCTCCAGCGGCGCCTTGGGGACCCCCCTAGGTCTTTGGCTCTGCCCGGATGGCCGTCCTCACTCTACTGACTACTCAAATTCTCCTTGGCACTTAGACTGCGTAAAACCTTTTCTTCCAGGAAGCCCCCCTACACTGGCCCTCCCTCCCTGAGCTCCCATGGCCCCAGTGGTCCTTGGCCCTCTTGCTTCTGTGGGCAGGGTCCCAGTTCCTCCGCCTATGGCCCCGGGGAGCCAGAAGAGACTTGCTGAGTCAGTGCGGGATGGCGCCAGACTGGGCAACAGTGGGCTCGCCGTCTCAGGCCAGGCCCTGCGTCTCCTCAGGCCTTGGCTCCCCATCAGTGAAACGGGGTGCTGAGCAGTGGCCTCCAAGGCCTGGGGCTGTCATGGCCCTTGGACGCTGACGACTGGGGCCCCACTGTCACCCCCCTGGGACCAGGGACGGGCAGGGGTTGTCTCTCATCTTCAGGCTTCTTCTGTGAAGACAGGGGTGGGAGACAAACGGTGCCCACGTGGACAGACCGCCCTCCCCTGATGCATCACCCCGCGGGTTTCGAGGCTCCGCTGGCCTACCTGGCTCCTGTTTTTTTTTGTTCCCATTTCACCAGGGCCGGCGCATGATGGGAGGGAGCGTCCGGGAGGCGAGATGGGGGAAGCCTAATCAAGTCCTTGCCTGTCACCTTTCCAAGCCAAGGATTCTCCTAACCCCGCGGCCAGGAACCCAGATGGGAGACCACCCCCCACACACACACCCGGTTAGAGGCCTGGGAGAGGGGGCGGCTGGCCTTCTGGTGGTAAAAATAGCACTCGCAACTGGAATACAAAAAAGAAGGCCAATCATCAGCCCCTGCCACAGGCAGTTCCGGACCCCACGGCCAGGTCATTCCTTAAAATATTGATGAGGCAGCCTAGCCTCCCCCGCTAATGGGCCGATGACCCATCGATCCAACCCGCAGTGGGCAGAGGCCTGAGGGGGCAGGAGGCACCAGCCTGGCCCACAGCCTGCAGGGGCCTCGGGGCCTTGTGTGCGGGAACCCCAGCGGGAGCTTCTACCACCACAGGAGACGATCTGCCCCCAGGGAAGGGAAGGAGGCCCTGCAGGGCAAGCTAGCCACTCAGCACCCCAAAAAGCTGTCCTGGGGGGCTGCCCCTGGGTAAGCTCATCCAGCACCAAGGACCTTGACCCTTCTCCTGCCCCCTCGCTCAGCTCCGTGCTCAGGGGAACACCCAGACAGCCAAGAGCCAAAAGGGCTGGTGAGGGTCAGAACTGAGGGTGCTCTGTTCTGTGCTGGGGTGGGCAGTGACCCCCCAAGAACCATTCATGATGGGGAAACTGTGGTCTCTGCCTAGGGCCCCCCAACACAAGAAGAGAAGACAAGGCCTCCCTCAGCCTCAACCATGCCCACCGATGTCCTGTCCTCCAGGCTTCTCAGGATGGACCTGGCCTGGCCAACCCAACCCCACCCTTGACCACGAACGCTCCTTCTGTCCTCTGTGGGGTGGTCCCCTCCAGCCCCCACAGGACACAGACCACATCTGGGCTAGTCCTTCCTCCAGGAGTGCCTTCCGCCTACGGGCTGGCTGCTGGAGTTTCCCCCGCGGATGGAGACACAGAGTACACAGAGCACATTCCCTGTGTCACTGTTGGGTACTTGCGTGTTGGCTCTCTAGTCTAGTACCCGCCCCCAGCACGTCCCCCCAGGGCAGGCTCTGAACCAAGGCCTCCCGCAAGTGAGGTGTGGCTGGAATTCCCCAAGCCTCTCACACAGAATAACTGCTCACCCCATGACCCCAGAGGAGGCCCAAGTGGGCATCATTTCTGGTCTTAACAACCTTGAACCTGCTAGGACTTTGCTGCCGAGTGGGTGTGGGAGGAGGGCGCTCTGGCTGGTGACAGGGACAGGTGCAGAGTAAGAGCCCTGGGGGCTCCTGCCCTGTATGGGTCGCAGGGGGTTGGGGGGAAGGGGGCTCAGGTGGGCCCGGCCTTTTGGACCAGCAGTGTCTCTAGCAGGGAAGGGGACCGTCCTGCCTCCCACACGGACTGCTTCATGGTCCGAGGCCCATGCTGAGGAGCAGCGTTGGGGGGCGGCCATCAAGAGCTGGAGCAGCTCTGGGCTCAGGCCCCCCCCCCCATGCCTTTCACACACAGCCAGCCTGTGCCAACTGAGGGAGGGCGGAAGCCCTTCTGGTGAGCCCCTGGGCTTTCACGGATGCCCCCGATCTGGACAAGCCCTGCTGGCTCTGGGACCTGCAGACCCCCGGTCCTTGGGGGCCCCACAGCTGCTCCCATCCCAGAGGCCCCACTGCCTGCCTGTGCTCCCACCTGCACATCTGGTCATTTGACATGTGGGACGGTGGAGAAGGTTAACAGCCTGAGACCGCGGGGCGCCTGGCTGGCTCAGTCAGAAGAGCCTGCAACTCTAGATCTCGGGGTTGTGAGTCTGAGCCCCATGTTAGGTGTAGAGACTGCGCACAAATAAAATCTTAAACAAACAAACAAAAGTCCTTAGGTAATTGGTTAAGGAATCAAAGCTTTGCTTCTATTTCATGAATGTTCTGCCTCCATTCCTCTTGTCCTCTCACTGCTCTGAGCAGATGGCTCCTCCCTGGCCTCCCTGTTTCCCACTGTCCCCGCCAACCCCCAACAAATCCAGGCTCCACAGTGTGGCCAAGGTCTTTTCCGAGAACCCACATCCAGTTGAGCTATGTCCCTGTTTCAGACCCTTCTCCCCTCACATCTTCCCTGCCAAGAGAGGATTTGCCCATTGTACAGATGAGTAAAGAGGGTCCTGGCAAGGGCAGTGACTGACCTATCATTCACTGGATTTGCACTGGCTTCCCACTGTGTGCCAGGAGACATGCTGGGGGGTTCAGCACCATAGAATGGGCGAGAGGGAAGGGTGGAGCCGAGTTCACATCTGTCCCTTTCTGCAGCATGCGCTACTCAAAACAGGGCCCTGTCCCTGGGGAGCTCTCCTCTGAGAGCATTCGGGTGGGGGGGGCACCCAGGCCCCACCTCAGGAAAAGGAAAGGAGATGCCCAAACTGAGAAGGGGCATGCTGACAGGCTGGAGGGCCGGGGAGTCCAGAGCTGGGCCCTGGAGGAAATAGAAGTCAGATGAGCAGGCAGTGGGGCCCAGGACAATGAGCTATGCCGGGGCCTGGGGGCTTAGGAGAGAAGCCCATCCTCCTTCAGGAGCACCTGGTGCTGGACAGTTCCTGGACAGCTGTAGGTGGAGTGCAGGCTGGGATGGCTCCAGCTGCACTTGCCCTGCCCTCCCTGGGTATAGAGCAGAGGCACCCCCTCTCCAACCTCTAAGTCTCTCCCAGTGCCTTGGATCTCACCTAGGCCTGGATTCATACCCTTCCCAGACCTCTCTGGCCCAGCCCCTGATACCTGCAAGACACCCCCCTCAACTCCTACTACCCAGCCCACCTGTCTGCCTTCTGACTTTTCCATGACATCCATACCAGTGACTCCTGAGACCTCCAATACCCCCCCCCTCAGTTCTGAGTATCCCAGACCTCTGGGTACTAACAGGTGCTTATAAAGCTTCCTTGGGTCTTTCTCTGAACAACTGAACTCCCACCCTGGCTGATCTCCAGGCACCTCAAACTCAACACTTCCGAGTTCTATTACATCCTCTTCCTCCAACCCCTGCTTGCTCTCTGCTTGGAGTCTCAGCACCCAGCCCGGCATTGCCTCACCTGCTCCCACTCCTCTGCCCCAACAGCTGCCAGGCCCCTGAGCTGATGGAGGCCTTGGGAACACCCCCTTTGTCCTGTACCCGCCTCCACCCTCCGCCTCCACCCTCACTCTCCTGCCCCTCTACAATAGCATCAGACCATGACCCCCCAGCAGGTGTTATACCCACCCCCAGGTAGGCCCTATCCACAGAGGGTCCGAAGTATCTGGAGAATGGAGCCCAAACCCTGCATCATCCAGAGGAGTCAAAAGATGCTATAATCCTACACACTGATGCCCTGCCTTGATCTGCCCAAAGAGGTGTGGGCTATAACCTCCTCTAGATAGAGGAAGGTCTGAAAACAGACCTAAACAGGTTGAGGGGGAAGAGAAACTTCCCCAAGGCTCCAAGGATGCCACCGCCCCTCGGTCCCATGTGGACAATGAGGAGCAGGAAGCGAGGCAGGCTCCAAGAACCCCATGGACACAGTAGCCAGGAGACCCATGGCACCTAAAACCCTAATTCCCCACAACCCAGGCTAGGTACACAGGCAAGAGGTAACGACCAGGCTCTTGTCAGAGACAAGTGGCTTAGAGGCCTGGCTTGTTGGTTGAGTGGCTCTGGCCCAAGTCATTTCACTTCCCTGATCTGTTTCTTTCTCTGTAAGATGGGGATAATAATAGTACCAAACCCACAGGGCTATTGTGAAGATTACATGAGACTTGGCACATCAACTCAAAACCAAATGCTCAGTCTTGGGGGAAGCCCACTCTTCGTTGTGGTTGTGTGTGTGTGTGTGTGTGTGTATTCTCCCTAGGAGACCCACTAAGGAGGAAAGAAGGGTTTAGAAAATTTAGACACATTTTCCACAACAGGTAAGAGGAAAAGCATGTATATAGAAACCCTCGATGACTTAGAACCATTCAACTAACCCGCTTCAGAATCTCTTGCCCACCATCATGCATGCCCTCTAGAGGGAGAGAGGAGTAGAAGGGAGCAGTTGGTGGGAAACTCTGCCTTCCAGACCCCCATAAACGCCCTGACTCATGCCAGCCTAACAGCACTGACCCTACTGCCACACCTCTCCCAAAGTTCCTAGGGCTGGAAGGTTCTAGGTCACTCCCCTGACCAGTCGCCTCCGGGATGGAGCAGGGAGGCCAGGAAGGAAGAAATCTGTTTAAAGTGGCCACAGAGTTGGGGGAGGGGGGGTTCAGGTCACGTCCCCCATAGAGGCAACCAAAACCTCTTAGGGAAACCTCCCCTCCCTCCCCCTGCCCTCACTCACCCCATGATCAGTGGCCTGTGTTGGAGTGGACAACTCTTGCTGGTCACCCAGCTAGGAGGGAGGCAGCACCATCTCCATTTTACAAGGTACATAATGGAGGCTCAAAGTGCAGAGGCAGGGTTCAACCCGGGTTTGACTCCCAACCCTGAGGTTCTCCCCGGCACCGAGTCGGTGTGAACACCGATTCTGGCTTATCCACGTTCAGTTACTCCTGAGGCTGGCAGCCCGATCCGCCCTGAGGATCCTAAGGGACCCCAGTCACTGCAGACTTTTCCCTCTGAAGACCTCACTTCGTGGGCTGATGGGGGGGCCCGGCCGGGTCCCAGCCTCTGCCTGGCCTTGGCGGGCTGGGTTGGCGCGGTTCCGGGCCGCGCGCCGCCCGCAGGTTCATCAATGGCTGAGGCCGAAGGGCCTGAATGGAGGGCGTGAACCCGCCCCTTCTTAAAGGCGCCGGCCTCTCGGGCACCCGCAGCGGTCCTCCCCACTCTCGAGGGCGGTCGGAGAGCTCCCGGGGTAGGCGGACCGAACTGGTGACCGTGAGAAAGACGGCCTGGACCGAATGGAGGGCGTGCCGCCCCGGCGACTGTGGACTGGATAGGGTCCTCCCGGGGCTCGCACCCTCCTTCCAGGTTGGCCCGCCCCCCCGCTCTCGCAGCCCAGGGAAGGGACGCGGGCTCCCTCGCGACGCTCCCCAGCCGGAGACCCCTCCTCCAGGGGGCCCGCTGCGCTCGCCCCACCGCGGGCCCTGGGCCCTAGGAGGGGGCGGGGGCGCAGCTGCTCCGGAGGCGGCTCGGCCCCTCCCGCTACTCCCGCCCGGCCGGGAAGCGGGGGGGGGTCGGCGAGTGGGTCCCCGCCGGGGGCGCATCCCCTCCGTCGCGCTCCCTCCCACCCGCGCACACAAAGACGACACGCGCGGACCAGGGCGCGTGCGGCCGCGCTTCCCGGGGCAGCCGTGCGCACACACACGCACGCCCTCAGGGACTGCCCGGGTCCGGGGAGATGGACGAGGGAACTGAGGACAAGCAGACCGTACCTACAGGCGCTCAGCTGCGACCGGGCGGGCCGGGGCGCCGGCGGAGCGCTGCCCCGACCGCGGCCCGGCTCCCGGGGCCCGGCGGCTCATGGCCCGCGGCGGGTTCGGGCTCCCTCCGGGCGGGCGCCGGCGTTGGCTGCGGCTCCTCCTTCCCTCGTCCGCAACCTCGAAGGCTCTTGCGCTCCTCGCGGGCCCTGCGCGGCCCCGGCTCGGCGGTCCAGGCGGCCGAGCCCCGCGCGCCGCGAGCCCAGCCCCGCGCCGCGCCGCGCGCGCCCCGCCCGCTCCCCTCGTGCCCCCCGCCCGCGCGGCGCGCGCCTCCTCGGCCCCGCCCCCGGCGCGGGCCCCGCCCCCCGCCCGCCTTGGGCCGCGCCGGCCCCGCCCCCGGCGCGCCCCCAGGCCTCCGCCGAGCCTGAACCGCGCCCGCGGCTGGTGCTAGCTAGCTTCCTTGGGGCTGCGGCTGCGGCGGCCGAGCCCTGGGGCTCAGGGGGTTAGGAGTTGGCTGCAGCCGCCCCCTTTGGGGCGAGAGTCATCCCCCCTGCGCGGAAGCGTGCCCCGGGAGCGCGGTGGGTGGGGGCCGGGTGGGTGGCCCGAATAGTGGGGTGTATGGGGGCGTGGGCGCCCCTTTGGGATGGGCGCCAGGCGGAGGCCGCCGCTGTCCTGGACCTTACGCCGCGGGAACAAAGGGAGCCTCGAGGAGGCCCAGATGTCGCAACAGGGGAAGTCGACGTCTGGTTCTCATAAATCCCGAGGGCGAGCACCACGCCCTCTCCTTTCGGCGCTCCCCCTGCCGGAAATAGCCCAAGGGCTACAGGGCGGGGAAGACCCGAGCACTGCCCCATCTACGCACCTTCACAGTGTCGGGGAGACGGGCGCCACCCGAAGAGATCTTCAGAGGTCAAACGGGGCTGATGGGGGGCAGACACAGCCCTGGCTCCTTCACCATCGCTGGGTTCTGTAGCCCCAAAACCCAAGGCATAGGTTAGGGCAGAGACCACTCTGGCTAAGAAAACAGACTCCTGCTGGTCTTTGCAGAGCAATTGTGGACTGACCCCTGGCAAGCTGGGGCCTCCAGGAGGCCAGAAAGGGGTCCGGGAGGAGTGGGAGGGCAGCTCAGACATCAGACCTATTGCTTGCTCCTGGGGAGAGGGGGCAGGGCGCGGGAGCTCCTGCTCCCGTCCTCTCCTTTGCCTCCTGCCCCCGTCCTCTCCTTTGCCTCCTGCCCCAAGCCCTCAGCCCCCACAGGTGGTCAGATCAGTTCTCCCTGCCCTTACTTAGCCTTCTGCAGCTGCTAGCTGAGAGTGCCTCCATCTGTTGCCCTCTTCCTCCCAGAGTGATCCCTGACCTTTGTGGAGAGCCCTTTAACCTTTCACAAAGCCCTGTCACCTCTGATTTCCCAGGAAGCAGGACAGGCAAAGAAGGGTTTTTATCCCAATCTCGGAGATGCAAAGGGTGGGCCTAGAGAGGAGCAGTGGGTTGGTGAAGGTGGAGACTGGCCTGGAGCCCTCGCTTCCTGCCCCCCAGCCCTGGGCTGCCCTCTTCCAGGGTGCTGAAGCAAGGCGGGTCTCGTCGGAGGTCCTGGTACCTAGTCTCTTCCCTTCCACACACACATGAACTGCCCTCTCAGCGGGACCTGGCCAGCAGACGATTAATGAAAGCTTAGACGTGGACCGGCTATCGACTGGAGCCGCGCAGAGGCCTCGACTGCTGGCTGGGAACCAGGAGGTCTATGAATGAAGCTGGGAGAGCTGGGAGTGTGTGTGGGTGGCCTGGCTGTGGACCCCACCCTTCTGGGAGATGGGAGAGCCTGCCCCCCCCCCCCACCCACTAACCTGGTTCTGGGTAGTGGGTTGAGCTGTGCCGGTGGGCTGTCATTGGCCAGGGAGGGTCCTGGGCAGGACAATAGCTCTGATCCCCAGGGAGGAGGAAGTGAGGAGGAGCCAGCTGTTTGTGACTCCGACCCACAAGGAGGAACTGGTGGGAGATGTGGAAGTGGTGGAGGGTGGAGGGTGCCAGTGATTGGCCAAGACCAGCTTTGTCATGGTGACGGGAATGAGAGTCAGGGAAAATGGGTTCATCTGGGGTCCCTGATGGGGCAGATGGTGGGGGGTGCTGAGGATGGGACTCCAAAGAGGTGCCCCTGGATGTATAAGCTCTAGAGTGTTCAGGACTAGAACTGAGACAGGGCTAGGACAGGGGACGCTGGCCCGGTGCACTGTGGGGTGGGAGTTGGGTGTGGAGCCAGCTTCAAGGGCCACATGGCCAGTGGGGTAACGCCAGCCACCACAGACCAAGAAGGAGCCCCTCGGTCTGGGTGGGAAGAGACCCACGTGAGTGGAGCTGGGCTAGGGCTGACCGGTGGCTCGGTGCAAACCCGACACTCAGGGGGCTTGGTGGGCATGGGCTCTGCAGTGCCTGGCAAGCAGGGACCCAAGGGACAGGGGCACAGAGTGCATGGCTCCAGGGCACCCAGAAAGGGAAGGAGGGATTCCCCAGGAGCTGACACCACACTCCGACACGCAGCACACATCCAAATGCGGCCTGATAGGTTTTTTTTTTTTTTTAAAGGAATAGATTTCTCTTTTTGATCGGGTTGCTTATCTGCTCAAGAGAACTCAGACATGGTGGGTCTGGGTTCCAGCAAAGGTCTGGACCCACTCCCGGAATTCCTGGGGGATGGGAAAAGGAAGAGAGCTCCCGTGTGCTGGGGGTCATGCGTCATATCAGCAGAGCAGCTGAAAGGTCCAGTCCCAGCTCCCAGGCGGGTCG